CCACCCAGGCACCCCTATTGAGGTATAACTGACATGCAATATAGTATACTTATTTTAAGCATACAGTTCTATGGGGCGCCTGGGTGGCTCAGTTGGTTAAGCATCTGCCTTCGGCTCAGGTCATGATCTCAGGGTCCTGAGATCCAGCCCTGCATCGGGCTCCCTGCTCAGCAGGGAGTCTGCTTCTCCCTCTCCCTCTGCAGCCCCCCTGCTTGTGCTCTCTTGCTCTCTCTCTCTCAAATAAATAGATAAAATATTTTTAAAAAGTGTACAGTTTGGGGCGCCTGGGTGGCTCAGCCATTAAGGTCTACCTTCTGCTCAGGTCATGATCCCAGCGTCCTGGAATTGAGCCCCGTGTCAGGCTCCCTGCTCCACGGGAAGCCTGTTCTCCCTCTCCCACTCCCCTTGCTTGTGTTCCCTCTCTTACTGTGTCTCTCTGTCAAATAAATAAATAAAATCTTTAAAAAAAGTGTACAGTTCTATGAATTTTGAAAAATGATGTACTCATGTATCATCACAATCAAGGCATAGAACTTTTTCATCATCAAAATTTTCCTTGTTTAATATATTATGACCCAAAGTAGTGTACAGATTCAATGTGATCCCTATCAAAATTTCAACATTTTTTAAAAAGAGTTATTTATTTGAGAGAGAGAGAAAGTATACTCGTGCTCCAGCAGGGGGAGGAGCAGAGGGAGAGGGCGAGTCTCCAGCAGACTCACCGCCAAGCACAGAGACTGACTTGCGGGCTTGATCTCACAACCCTGAGGTCATGACCTCAGCCAAAATCAAGAGTCAGATGCTCAACTGATTGAGCCACCGAGGTGCCCCAAAATTTCAACATTTTTTTGCAGATACAGAAAAATCCATCCTAAAATTCATATGGAACCTCAAGGACATTGATTAGGCAAAACGGTCTTAAAAAAGAACAAAATTGGAGGTCTCACAATTCCCAATTTCAAAACTTACTACAAAGCTATAGTAATCTGGGGCGCCTGGGTGGCTCAGTCATTAAGCATCTGCCTTCAGCTCAGGTCATGGTCCCAGGGTCCTGGGATCGAGCCCCGCATCGGGCTCCCTGCTCAGTGGGAGGCCTGCTTCTCCCTCCCCCACTCCCCCTGCTTGTGTTCCCTCTCTCATTGTGTCTCTCTCTGTCAAATAAATAAATAAAATCTTTAAGAAAAAAAAAAGCTATAGTAATCTAAACTGTGATTCTGGCATAAAGACAGACATATGTACTAATGGAATAGAATAGAGAGCCCATAAATGAGCCCCGGTATATATGGCCAAATGATTTTCAAGGGCATGAAGACCATTCAATGGAGAAAAGGCAGTCTTTTTAACAAGCGGTATTGGGAAAACTGGATATCCAAATGCAAAAAAATAAAATTGTCCTTTATTTTACAACATATACAGAAATCAAGTCAATATGGATCAAAGACCTAAATGTAAGAGCTAAAACTATAAAACTCATAAATAAAAACATAGGGGGAAAACTTCATGATATTGGATTTGTCAATGATTTCTTGGCTATGACACCAAAAGCATAAACAACAGGAGAAAAAAATACATAAGTTCTTGCTCAAAATTTAAAACTTTCGTGCATCAAAGCACACTATCAACAGAGTGAAAAAGCAACTCTTGGAATGGAAGAAAATATTTACAAATTATATCTGATGAGGGACAGATATCCAGAATATATAAACATCTCCTACAGCTCAAGAACAACAAAAAACAAACAAACTGATTAAAAATTGGACAAAGGACTTGAATAAACATTTCTCTGAAGAAGATCTACAAATAGCTAATAGACAAATGAAAACATGTTCAACATTGTTAATCATTAGGGAAGTTCAAATAAAAAATGTAATGAAATACCACTTCACATACATTAGGATGGCTATTATCAAAAAAACAGACAACAAGCGTTGGCAAGGATGTGGAGAAATTGGAACCCTTATGCATTAGGGGTGGGAATGTAAAATGGCACAGCTGTTGTGGAAAATTCTATGGCAATTCCTCAAAATGTTAAACTTAAAATTACCATATGATCCAGCTATTTCACTTCTGAGTATATACCCAAAAGAAGTGAAAGCAGGGAATTCAACAAATATTTGTACACCCATGTTCATAGCAACATTATTCACGTAGCCAAAAGGTGGAAGCAACCCAAGTGCCCATCAGCAGATGATGAGTGGATAAACAAAATGTGGAATACACATGCAATGGAATATTATTTAGCCTTAAAAGTGAAGGAAATTCTGACATGTGCTACAACACCAATGGCCTTTAAAGACATTATGCTAAGTGAAATAGGCCAATCGCAAGTGTACAAATATTGTATGATTCTACTTGTATTAGGTACCTGGGATAGTCAAATTCATAGAGAATAGAAAATAGAATGGTAGGGGCGCCTGGGTGGCTCAGTCGTTAAGCGTCTGCCTTCGGCTC